TAGGTAGTAATTTATGGACATGAGTGCTTTTGTTCAGCTTTCTCCCTAAAAATCATCAGAGTTTACTTCTTTGGATTACTTGTAGTTATTAAAGAGGATGGCCGAATGGAAAGAGACGATTCTAATAAACAACAAAATTACAACAACAAAAAGACCTGGTATTCCTACCAATAGAGGCTGCTAGTTTTTGCCTTGGATTGATCAGCTTAAGTTACTCTGAGTCCTGATGTTTTCTGGACACTCTCAGTGCTGACATCATGCATGTTGCATTCAAGGCTCATTCCCTCAAGTCTGACTGTGCAAGGCCACATCCTTGGCCTGTTAACTACTGCATGTGTGTGTGTGTGCTTGCACTGTCACGTATGACTCAGGGGGGGAGGGGCGGGCAAGCTGTAGCATCTGAAAAAGCCTCAATAATTCATATGTTTGGGATTTGCATCTCTCCCACATACACACACTCACAGATCTTGTAGGGGAACTAAATGCCTCATTTTAATACCAACAAGTCAGGCTACTGAGTGCATGCACACTTCTAACCAGTTTGATGCATGCATGCTTTTTGTAGACATTTTTACTGTTAGATTGTTTTTTTTTAAGTTAAAGCATCCTCCTTTTTAGTAAAAGTGTGAGAGGGATGCATTGTCATGAGAGGCTGCTTGTCTCGTGTGCCAGACAGCCTGCATGCTGACCTACTTTGGTTCAGATTCTGTATTTTTTATGAGATTGGAAGAAGCAGACACTCTCAGCACAAATGGAGATGGATATATAAAGCTCACTGCATGCAACTGGCTTCTACACAAAGACACCTAACGCTTGTTTGGTAGGAGGCAAAATCCTTCCATAAATACGTATTTATTTATCTACAAACCTTAATGTCACCAAGGATGCTGGTTGGCATAGAGACAGATGCCTGAAGGACAGATTTTCAGACACAGAAGCATAAAACTAAACAGATGCTCAAGGAAATGTCACAAGCTTTCTGGGAAAAGGATCAAAGGAAGTCACAATGTGAATGACACATGCTCAGACGCATTCATACGATGCAAACAAACGGGTGACAGCTACTCATTAGTGCAGAGCAATGGCAGCTCGTTTCATCAGGTTTGTTTCTGCTCCATTTATGTGAAAGGAAATTCTTAAACATCCTCACTCCTGGTTCCAAGGCCAAAATCATTTAGCGGCCCTGAGCTTTTCAAACAGAGGCTCTGATTCATTGATTAATTACTGCTTAGACTAGTTGACTTACCGTTGATACATGCAAAGTTATGGTCACTTCAACACAAGGTACAGAGCCGTCTCTCTGCTGCAGCATGCCTGGAACAGTCCCACATCTCGTCAGCAACGGAACCAGATAAAAGAGAATATGTGATTGGTAATATCATACAAACTCCCAGCAGTTTGAGAGGAAAACAACTCATGTTTTGGGGGCTTTCTAGCATCCTTTTTATCAGAACCAACAGCCCAGAAGCTTGAAATCCTTTAAAGTGGGCTGCTGGAACCCTAAACCTATAACCATCTAATCTCAGCTTCCACAAGGGCAGTTTGAGTGTAGCTGCTGGCATCAGTTTAATTCTCTAACAACCTTTTCCAAATCCACTGTTGTGCCTTCTACTGGTGGAGAGAAGAAACACCGATATTGGACAGTTCACTATTCGGCTCACATCGTCTGGCTACTGTAAAAACGATCCACACAAACATTAAATACGACCTTGCCAGATGTTATTTATAAATTTTCTGTGGAATCTGCTGCCCTGAAGATTTACCTTACCAGCCAGCCTGCAACCCATGTTTCACTTAAGCAGAATAGAAATATGATTGATTGTCCCCTCAGTGGAGAAATAGCAGCAGCAAAGTTATAGACGAGCTGAAGCATATAGAAATATAAAAATTAAATAAAACACTAAGTTCAACTTTGCAGCATAATAAAAGAAAAGGAATATTTGATTATATAAAAAAATTATTAGAAGAACCTGGATAGTATAATTAAGAATAATAAATATATTCATATTACTGTGAATAAAAAAAAATCATTTACAATACTAGGTAGAAAATTGTTGAAATGGCATGATATACAGTGCCCTCCTCAATTATTGGCACCCCTGGTTAAGATGTGGTCGAGGACTTCAAAAAATTCTCCTTTTTTTTTAAACAACAAAGAAACCTGTCATGATTTTATGCAAAGATCTGGCCCACATGCAAAAAACCAAACAGAGAGACCAGGGGAAGGTTTAACAGGTTTATTGAGAACTGGTAGGGATGGGTCTAGTGCTGCTCTGAACACTGGCGAACTGGGACTGAAAAGTGAAGGGGAAGTTCCTGTGGTTAGTTCAGGCTCAGTGGGAAATTTGAGCTTTGATTTGCACAAGGGAATTAAGGCAACAGGACTCATGTTTCCAGAATCTCTGAATCCAGTTGGTGTGGGTTGTTCCAGTAATTGAATTGCTCGTTGGAGGGCGGACAGGGTTTAACCAGGTTGAGGTGTTTCCTTGAGGAACGGAGGAGCTGACTGCCACTTAGATTTCCTATGTTACTTGAACGGTTTCTTATGGAGATGAATCCCCTGCTCAGTGTGAAGCTCAAACAATCCCTTGGAGAGTAGTAGATCCAAAACCTCCAGTTTGAATCCCAGCTCAGCTGAAGCTCAGACGTTCCTTCCAGGGGGAGAAGGTCCAAATTATGCAGTATGCAGGATGACTTCCCGAAACTGGCAAACACTCTGGCGTCGAGGTAGTGGCAGTCAGCAGCTTAAGAGTCCTCCGGTAATGAGGCAACCATCCGCAGGTGTGTGAGAGGACCAACGAGAACCAGGCGCCACCTGGTGGTGGAGCAAAAACACAACCCACACAAACTGGATTCCTAACAAATCCAAATGCAAAAAATAAAGAAGAGAAAAATCCATCCCTTTTATTTAAGTACATTACTTTGGTGGTAAAAATAAAATCATACATTTAGAAAGCAAAAAATGTGAAATCATGTGTTCCACAATTATTGGCACCCCTGATGTTAATACTTTGTACTGCCCCCTTTTGCCAACAAGACAGCACTTAAGGGATCTTTGACCACTCTTCTTTGCGCAATCTTTCTACGGTAGATCATCCAGTGTCCTGGTTCCTCTCTTGTGCGCTCTCCTCTTTAGCTCCCCGCACAGGTTTTCTTTTTGGTTGGGGTCTGGGGACTGAGATGGCCATGGGAGGACCTTACTTATGTGACTGCTGAACCATTTCTGTGTAGATTTTGCCACATGTTTCAGATCATTATCCTGCTGAAAGAGCCAATGACGGCCCATCTTCAGCTTTTTGGCAGAGGCCATTGGGATTTTATTTAAAATTTCCTGGTATTTCAAAGTGATGATGATGCCATGCAGCCTAACAAGGTTCCCAGGGCCTTTAGAAGAGAAACAGGCATTACAGATTCACCACCATACTTCACTGTGGGCATGAGGTGCTTTTCGGCATACTCATCTTTTGTTTTAGGCCAGACCCACTTAGAGTGTTTGTTGACTGAAAGCTCAATCTTAGCCCCATCTGACCAAAGCACACGATCCGAGTTGAAGTCCCATTGCCACTTAGCAAACTCCAGACGTTTACGTTTGTTGTGTGTGTGTGTTGTGTGTTGGTGAGAAAAGGTTTTTTTCCTTGCATGCCTTCCAAACAGCTCGTTGGCATGTAAAGAGCATCTGATTGTTGTTTTTTAGACTTTGTGACCCCAAGATTCCACTATTTGTTGCAATTCTGTGACAGTAAGCGTAGGCCTTTTTGACTTCTGTTACCATCCCCTTCACTGTGCGTTGTGGCAGGATAAACTTCGTACCTCTTCCAGCCTTGTTTGTCACTGTTCCAGTTGTTTTAAACTTCTTAATGATTCCTCTCACTGTAGATACAGGCAAGTTAAGGTGAGGGGCTATTTTCTTATAACCATTGCCTGATTTATGAAGGTCGACACACATCTGCCTTACTTGAATCGTGTGTTCTCTTGTCTTTGCCATGCTGACTTATTGGTAAGAGAATTAGGCGTCTGCATCACGTCATATTTATACCCCAGGGAAACAGGAAGTCATGAATTACTAATTAAATGTTCCTAGATACTCTGACTAACTTTAGCAACTACAGAACAATACATTTAAAGGAAATCAATTCCTTTATTTTGTGGAATTGTTAGGGGTGACAATAATTGTGGGACACATGATTTCATGATTTTGTCTTCTAAATGTGTGATTTTATTTTTAACACCAAAGTAATATACTTAAATAAAAGGTTGGATTTTTCTCTTTTTTTGAATTTGGGGTCTTTGTTGATAAAAAGAAAAGTAGATTTTTTTTAAAACCTCAACTACATATTAAACAGGGGTACCAACAATTGCGGAGGGCACTGTAAATACCTATTTTATGTTGGGAGCAGTGACTGTTCTAAAGCCTAAGAGCTGCTTGGAGGAAGGATATGAGATGGCGCTCCTTGGTGCATAGAGAATACAGGCATCTGTCACTGAAGGAGCTCTTTCTGTTGGGGGTGTAATTCATCGTAGTCATTTTTGCCAGAAACTATTTCTTGTAAAACTTGGGATTCGGCATTATTGATTAACAGAGAACATATCTAAATCTACCTGAAATATGTGTTGCTCTAAATTGAGTTTTTTTTGTTGTTGTTGTTTTGTTTTTTTATTGAAACATTACCTTGAATGTCTGAGGATTAAAAGGAGCATCTGACCCTGATCATTATCCTTTAAGCTTGTAAAGAAATGTTAACTGACCCATATGTTTAACATATTTTTTGAGATGCTTGGAGTTTTATTTTTGTTTGTTTGTTTTTTCCCATTTCAACTTTAAGTACCATAAAGTAACAGCAATGAACCAAACTGTTTGGTTTTAACAGATGTTTTTTTGTTTTTTATTCCAGAAGGTAAAAAAGCCATAAATATCTGAACCAAATGGTAAAAATCTAGAAGTGAGTTCAAAAATAGACAAATTGTATATTTATCAGTTCTTCTCTGTCTGCTTCCTACAGAATGAGAAACGGAGGAAGAAGGACGCTTCCCTGTCTACCACCAGTTTGACCAGTCCAGTCCAACCGTCAGAATCCCAAACACCAAACCTGTTGTTTCCCCCGACTTTATTCGGGGCTTTTTAAGCATTCCTCAGCGGGTTCTTCCAAAACATTCTCTGTGGTGTTCTGCACAGCTCCACTCGCCTCGGGGCCTTGGACCTTCATGCGTCTCCTAGCAGCAGAGTCCACCCACACCTTCACCCACCACACCACCACCCATACCATGAGCTGTGAACAGGAGTTTGGAGACGGGGCCATGGGGGTCACGCTCACGTTGCGCCTTCTCATGCACGGAAAGGTAACGAGTGAAGCATGCGCTCTGCACTAAATCAAACAATCCTGAATGAAGGTTTTTATTTATTTATGGAGGTAGCTAAACCAGATGTAAAAGCATATCGCCGCCACGAGACGCATGTTGAAAATGTCACCGAAATGGGTGGTGTGGTCCGAAAGACGAAAAGTAACAGGGGATATAATACATTAAACAATCTGTGAACATAGAATAAAATTTATGCTGAAAAATAAAATGCTCACCTGAAAAACTGCTATCAGTGAAAGCTCAATATGTTCGCAATTCCAGCTCCTTTCTCGTTATGGGGCATATCTGAGTGAGATAGTTTGATTGTGCGCTTCATTTGTACTTGGATCTTAGAATAGATGGAACACTGTTGTTTGTCACTGTTGTGGTGTTAACAGTCTTTGTATTGGTCTAATAAAAAACTATAGAAACTACTAGCCTCCACAAACAGGAAACTGGGAATCTCATCACCTCGTAAATGTATGGCACTCCAACTTCCCAGTTCCAAAGTAAACCGTTATATCAGAAAGCGGAGCTATGACAATATATGGATAACTGCATTCGTTATATTTAGTGTATAGAGGGGTTAAGGTCATAATAGCTGAATTAAACAATGTAACAGACAATTGTCAAAATTTTACCTGTATCATAAAGATAGGTCCTTTCAATTCAGTTTATGTCTATAGCGCCAATTCACACCACGTCATCTTAAAGTACGTTACAGTTCAACCAGATCATAGAGTGAAAATTATTCCAAGGAAAACCAGTTGATTGCATCGACTCATTGACTCGAAGGCAATCCCTCTTTGAAGGTCCTTTTTCTGCGAACACAAAGTTAATTTAAAGTTCAGATTCACTTTCAGCTAAATTAAATCAATCTGCTCTACATGAGGCTCCAGACGTGGTCACAGCTCCACTTTCATTTGATAAAAAATACTCAAAGGCCAAATGTTCAACATGTCGCCTCTAAAAGGACAGTACCTTCTTGTAATTAATTGGATTAAACAATGTGCTAAGCGATAGTGCTGGCCTCTTGGACAATTACTGGGATTTGATAAAGTCCAATAAATCTATTAGAGCTGCTCTTTATTTATCACACAGGTTTATAATGATTCATTCCAAAACAGCTCTATACCAAAATTAGCAGTTGTTACTAGTTTTGGTTTAGCAGAGACTAAAGATTGTATGATTTACAAGCTGCTTAGGAGTCTGCAACATTAAGCTAAGATGCATCTGGTGGTGATGTTTGGTTTATGGAGCTTCATACTGTGTTTTCCCATCAGGCTGGATGGTCGTGTTCTGTTTACCTGCTAAGTGTGAAGGGGAGACTTTTTACAACATGACGCTTTGAAATCTTTAATGGTTTTAACATCACTGCTGTGACGCCTTTTTTCCTTTCAACAGTCTGCATGAGCTCCAAATTGACATTTGCACTGGGCCTATTTCTTTTTACTCCCCACTCCTGGAGAGTAAAAATAAATTTCAAACTCTTTGGTAGAAGGTTCAGTCAGTAGACTGAACAGATTCAACTGTCAGGTCATTGTTTCTGTCTTTAACAACTACTTCCTAAAATTTTAACCTTGTTGACGTTGGCCAGTCACACCTGGGTTAATCAGTCTATCCAGTAATAAAATACAGAAACCAAAGGAGCTGGCTGATGATCAGAAAGTAGCAGAGTTTAGGAGTGGTGGTCTAGTGGATAGGGCATAGAGAGGTTCTGAGTTCAAGCCCCACTCCCACAGACTGAAAACACTGGGTTCCTGGGCAAAGACCCTTAACCCCACACTGCTTCCAGGGCGAAGCACAATGGCAGCTCACTGCTCCCCAAGGGGATGGTTAAACAGAGGGAGTGGGGCGTGCAGGTGGCGCATTGGTTAGTACACACGACCCATGTATGGTGGCCTTAGTCCTCAACGTGGCTGACCCGGGTTGGAATCCGACCTGTGGTCCTTTGCGGTATGTCTCTCCCCCTCTCTCATACCCCCTTTCCTATGAGCCACTAGAGCCGTAAAAACTCAAAAGAAAAAAAAATAAAATAAAATAAATGAAGAGAGTTAATTTTATTGGTCTGTACTTGTATCAGTGTAATGACAATAAAAGCTGGATGGAATAGTTGGTTCTATTGGATCAATGTTTCAAGTTTACGAGTTTATTTCTGAAATGTTAAATACTCTAACATCTAACATTGTCTCAGTTACTGCATTTTCAGAGTCAGACAAAATTATTTTTTCCTTAGGGACAAATCTGTTCACAGACATTGGTTGCAGCAAAGGGCAAAACATTCCACACACAGACACATAGTTACACAGAGATGGACAGGACGGAGGAAAAGCAGTGGATAGTGGATCCAGCCATAAAGTGCAGCAGTTTCCCATCAGCAGCAAAGTCACAAGGGTTGATTTATGTCGTTTGATGTTCCTTTTAAATCAATGTTGTACAGATAATAACTCTGTAGACTGTTTTGTCACTCTGCTGTTCCAAAACAAGTTCACCAACAGTTCACCAACCTTTAGTGCTGCAGACAGAAGTGAATATTTTTCTAACCGGGTGTTTTTTTTTCCTCCACAGGAAGTTGGGAGCATTATTGGAAAGGTGAGTTACTAACTGCTGCTGCAGCAGGTTCATTTGTGATCACAGTAAAGCAGCACCTCTGTCACATCATGTCAAATGTTAAGAAACTACTTAATGGAAGAAAAAACACAAATATAAATATGTCCACATATTTTAGCTATTTGGCTTTTCAGATCAGAGCGGCGGTCAGTTTAATTCTCCAACAATGTGAAACCCTCATTAATCACATGTCAGATTTCCAGTTGGACTCCGTCGTCTGTCTGTCTTTTCTCTGAACAAAAGCTGCTCTCAAGAGTTTCAAGTAAAGCTGCTGTATAAGATGAGACGTGGAAGTGCAACAATTTCTAAATTTCTCAGGAAAATACAAAAATATTATCATACTACAAATATATTAACTTTCTGCTTCGTTGAAGAAAAGGCTTCACAGCATTCGATGCAGGTCCAGCAGATTGTGCATTCTTCCGAAACGCCATCAGACAGCTAAATGTTGTAAAACTTCAAATAATGTCACAGACTCTGCATCCCACTAATAACACCAAACCAAAAATACTGCATATTTGCACCATGTGTATAATCACAAGTCTAGTTGTAAAAGAAAAAGAATGGGGGTGGTGGAATATATATATATATATTTTTGGAAGTACATGTAGCCTAATTAACTTAGTCTATTAACCTAAAGCAATATACGTGGTATAGTTGTTACATGTCAGGTACACCAGTCATTGACCTTGACCAAGGCACCTTACAGTAGAACTGCAGTCAGTCCCTAGACTGGCATGGCTATCACTGCCCCTGCATAGTTAGGGACTAATGCAGAGGACAAATATCCCTCTGGGATCAGCTTCATAGTCATGGTAGGCCACTTCTTTGACTTTATTTAGTTTGCTCAGGCTACTCGTAAGACCGCCAAAAGTTGAAATGGCAATATTGTTGCCATTACTGTTAAGATATAATAGAAATTTTAAACATTTAGCAATGAAATGTCATAGGGGATAGTATGGGGAATGGTTATTTAGAAAGGGGGATGATTTTTAAGATTTTTTCAAGAAGGGGGATGCAATCCCTCCTCATCCCCCCTCAACTCAAGTACTGTGTATAAATCTCTGAACTTCCATATCAATGCGTTTTTTGCACCACGTATGTTTGTTTGTTTTTTTTCTCCTACACTGTTTACATTTGATCACTGCTGCACTTTATGGAAATGAAAATGAACATTTACTGTGTGGAAAGCTGTACTAAACATAACTCTGTTTATACAAAATAACAGTAAAAGTTGGCTAAGTCTAAAATCTCCTGAATACTCCTATATGTGCAGAAGCAGCAGACGTCCAAATTCTCCTCACTGTCTTCTTTATGCATTAGCAGAGCAGGAAGTGGTCTCCAAAGGCTTGCAGCAGAGCAGAACTGAGTTGCTCTAAAATGAGACTTAGGGAGACTAGTGGGAAACTGAAATGGAGATTTCAGTGACATTTACTTTCTTTATTTACAGCAGGACATTTTTTCTTTATTCCTCAGGGTATTTCATCTTTCTAAGCTGATTTATATGCAACACTCAGAGTCAGTTGCTCTAACCTGTTAGTAGCCTGGAGCATCAGAACACTGCTTCAGGGCTTCCTGGAGTCGGGAGACAAGAAGCATCATTCATTAAAAGAGCTTTGAATTCTTAACTCTCAGACCCACAATAATGATTGTTTTTCACTGAACTGGCTGCTTTCACTCTGGTAAAATAACTTGGACTTAAGCTTTATGTCTCCATACATTTTAACTAGAGAAAGTATCACAGCTTATGCTTTATCCTAAAAACCAAGCGCCGAACATTACTGTAGCTCTTGGTCTTACATGTCAGTCTATAGGACAGCCCCTATTGGCAGGGGTCCTAAAGGACCTACTCTAATGAAAAGTGATGCCATGAGCTGTGAGTTAAACTGTTCCAAAGCACTTCTTTCTGCACTCAGTCTTTAACAATCTAAGCAGAACATCTTGGATTGGGCATGTTTTCATATACTAACCTGAAAAAAGACCTCACGTTATGAAAGATGTTAATATTTATATTTTCAGTGTTTGCTTTTGGCTTTAATTTGAACAGTTACTTGCTGCAATCTGAGCCTTGCTGCTCACTCAGTCGATCCAAGAAACAGAAAACACTGCTATTGGTTTAATGGTTTCATTGTCAACATTATCTTGTGCTTTAAAAATCACCAAGAGCAATGAACAGGGAGTCTGGATGTTGTTGTGTTTTTTTACCACCTTCTTCGTCTGGTTGGACAAATGTAGCAACATCTTGCTAATAATGGCCTGAGGTGGAATATAAACAACAACCAGGATAAATGTGGAAAACTCCCATTTCTACTATATTTTAACAGTAATGGCAATGACAGGCCAGATGTAGAAGGAATGACTATTCCCCTGCTGATTTTTCAGTCACCAACATATAAAATACAAGAATGTTATTCTTTGGGGAGGAAATATTTTCATTGAATATACAGAAAAGAGATGAAAATGTTATGAATTTGCTTTTCAAACTGAATTTTTGGCTCTGAAGTAACAATTCCATCTTGGAAAGGTTTGATATCCTATATCATATATCATATATTAAATGTAAAAACACTTTTAATCATTATAGGATTAAACTGCATTAAAAAAGATTAAAATAAATAGAAAGAAACACACATGTACATAATACACACACACAAGAAACTGCTCCTTTAGTCACGTTGTTCTGGATGCTTAGCTGCGGCAAACTGTTAGTACATTTTTATTTGAAAAAGTAGGTTGTGTGATCCACCCAGGAGGAGTTAGTGAAAGCCAATAAGGCTTAACATTCCCCTGTGTATTCAACTGTTTTTATTGATTAGTGAGTAATATGTTAATTAATCAATGCCCAAATAGACCGTATGATGGGTTTGACTTTGCATAACCATAAACCTCCAGTATCTTTAAAGTGAGAAGTTTTATAGAACAGAAGAGTCTAGTTTCATTTAAGATGCACATAAACATTTTGGTTTAATAGACAGAATCATTCTCTTCTGCTCTGTCATTAATGGAGCATTTTATTAAGCCTTTATTATCTCCGAGCACTTCGGCACTGTTCCTTAAAGCCTGTCAAGAACCTTATGTTATTTTCTGCTCCTCTCTCTGCAGAAAGGAGAAACCGTGAAGAGAATACGAGAAGAGGTAAGCCCCTCATCATCTCTCCTCCTCATCTTCTACTGCTGATCCATGACAACCCTTCAAATGCAGCTCACATGTGTTCGGCTAATTACAGCCGCTGCAGCGATCCTCCATGACACAATGACAAGTGAGAGGTATTAGTTTAATTCTCTGTGCCGTATCCAGCTTCCTTATATACATACATATGGTTTTATATATACATTACCATGCATAAAACATTCAGACATTTCTTTTTTTTCTGTTGTAGCCCGTATCTGAAGGCCCGGTAGTAAAAGTTTCAATCAGAGCGTTCAATGAGCACAGATAAATATGTTACTGAACTGTTTCTATAGATCTGAAGAATGAAAAAATAAATAGCTCAAGGTGTGCGCTGTTTCGGAGCTCCTGCTGTGATTCTAGAAAATAAAACATCTCTTTTAGCATCAAAAGATATGTCTGGGGTGTTGGGGGTAGTGGGTATCTGTCTTCTTTCTTTGCATTAGCATCCATGTCAGAGAGGCAGGCATGAAATGGAGGGAAAAAAATTATAAATCAGACCAAATGGGATTATAGTAAAGCACAGCGAGAAGAAAAATAAACACTTTATAAACATTGCCTCTTTCAACAGTGCAGTTTTTTTCCTCTCCAACAGTTCATAGAATAGTACATAGAATGGCATTTAGACATGTGCCTAAAAATGTCTTCCATCGAATACAGTCTGAGTCCTGCTTCTATTAGAATGCCAATTTCATTTGCTAAAAGCAGCTGTAAATATGATGTATGATCGTTAAGATGAGAGTGCAACTGTGTTTATCACCAGGAGGAATTAGTGCATGTTAGAGGTCTGCTGTCAATCAAGTGAACTTTTACTGGGATGGAGGAAAACTTGCAGGACGTCCTGTTCTGCAGGGAGAATTTGGCTTTTAAAGCTGCCCTGTTGAGACATGGAGCTGCACGCCAAGTTATGAGGGGAGGTGGTTGGTGTGTGCTGGCCTGTTCCAGGATTTGGTTCTTATAAAAAAAAAGGGCAAAATTCTGGGTTGCCTTCCAATTTGAGCCTGTTTTGTGGTTGCCATGAGCTGGATGACTGAGAAACTTTTAGAGTAGTAATCTTCAGCCTGCAGCACAGAGGTTTGCAACCTCTGAATTTCCCTTTGGGATTATTGAATGGAATTGAACTGAACTCCAGACAGGTCAAAGGTCACTAAAGGATACCTACTCTTCAGGTTATAGCTGATTTCACTCAGTGAAGTTGCTTATCATTTTCTTTTTATTTCATTGGTTGATTTATCACCTGAAGATTAAGCTTTATTTTAATGTCTCAGGTTAAAGCAGTTCTTCAAAACTTTCAGTGTTAGTCGCTTTTGGCTCCCCCCAGTGGACAAAAACTGTATAGTTTTGCCTGAACGAAGACAGTATTTCCCATGAGGACCAGCAGATTATCTGTAATGTTCTGCGTTGCATGAAATATGACGCACATCCGGAGAGTTCGGTTGCACTTTATTTAGCCACCTTGCTGACCACATTGGTATTCATTATAGACTCTGTAAACAACAATTCCCAGCAAACATAGCAATACCTGCCTGGCTACAGTAAGTGATAAAGGAGAGAAGCTTATTTTGCACTTAAATACATTTCCAAATACGGTACATCAAGGCTTGTTTCAAGACTGAAAAACAAATGGCCTCCAGGGGAGAGTTAAGGTCCAGAATCGCTGTTGACAAAAAGACCTGTCCCATAAGGGGTGTTTCCATCAGCTTTTTCTCTTATGTATTTTTAAGTATTGCATCAGAAAAGCTTACTGGAAACAGCAAATTTGGGGAAAAAAAGTTTTTTCTCGCTTGAGTTGGTTTTTGGCTTTTGTGAAAAAGCGTTGATGCACAGAAGAGTAGATGGAGACACTTTCTTTGATTAGCTCTGACTTAGCGAATTTTAACCTTGCATGACTGATCAGCTGTTTCTAATGTCAGCATCTTCCTGGATCTTCCTGTTATGAGGGTAAACATTGCTGGAACCAACATGTCAGCTATGAGCCGACATGTTAACATAAGAACAGCTTTCTCAGTAGCAATACACTTATTAAAACTTTCCATTTCTAATATGAGCTCCAACAGATTGCAGCCTCTACTTCCTGTTTATTACGGGCATGCATGAGGCCAAAATGTAGTCGATGATGTATCACATATTCCGCTTGGTTAATTTGCTTTAAGACCAGCGGAAACGAGGCACATTTGCATTTGCTTTTTATCAAACTTCCAGAAGTTTGCTTAAAATTCAAAATTCACTTGAATGGAAACACTGCTATATTTACCAGAAACATCTTCATGATCCTAAAGTTTTAAGGGAAAGGATTCTATGGACTGATGGGATAGAAATTGACCTTTAGGAAGGCGTTTTCTCCATCATTTGTTGAGTACAAAACCTACTTTCAGTCAAACACGGTGATGGCAGTATGATGTTGTGAAATTAAAACAATGTAGCAAATAAGAGTGAATTTTCCTCCCTTGTGATGTTAAAGATTCATTTCCAGTTATCACTAACAACTAAGAAAAACCGATTAGTTTTAGGGGGTAAGTATCTTTTTTTATCTCCTTAAAAATGAAATACTTTCTCATCCATTCCTCTCTGAGTTGAAGCAGTAAAACTAAACAGCAAAGCAGAAGAATTCTGTATCTTTGTGCTTCTCATAAAACTTTTAAATCTCCAGCAGAAGAAGCTTGTTCAGCCAAGCATTATGATCCTCATCGCTGACTACAAACGTCTGTAAATTCATCCAAAATTCTAATACTTTCATTAAAAAGCAGAACTCCCATGGTTTATTTCCATAATGTTTCCCCGATCAACGGCTGCTCTTGCATCTCCTGAGAAGACTTTTATTTGTAATAAGGCTGCAGCTGCAGCCACATGAATACTTAGACATGGGAATCGATAGGTTGGAATAGTTTGCATTCATCTCAGAGAAAGCAGAACTCTGGCTCATCAGTGACTCACAATGTTCTGAACACCTGCTGTGAATACCAACATTTATATATCAGAGCAAAGATGCAAAGCCTCCCTGAGAGGAGTCGCTTTGGAACTAAAATGATCCCCCAACAAGGAGGTGGAAAACAAGAATCCGAGAGAAATGACAACAATCACCTCAACATGCAGTGCAACAGAGAAACAGAATGTGTAAATATAAAGTACATCAGCTAGCAATTTTAATGTAAAGTTATGGTTAAACAATAAACCTGTGGTTCTTACATCATTTAGCTCTAAAATATGGATTAATCAGGCATAAAATGTCCAATGGTATGAACACAGGTTATTTCTGATTAGAATAAACACATAAAATGACTTCCAGACAGTAAACAGTCAATGCATATGAAAGCATTTAGGTCTATTCTGTTGTCAATTACAGATCTGAAATAAAGTAAAATTGGAACTACAGAGAAAATGTTGTTAAATAATTGAATAAAAAGAGATAATAATTAATAATAAAGACTGTAATCATCAGCACATAGTTTGAAAAGAAGCTTTGAATTTAGTGGGTTAACAATAAAAATGACCATCAGCCTCACCGTCTGATGCAATCATGTTGGAAGATTTTACAGCAAAGTAAAAGGGATAAAATTAGTCTATTATTAATATAATGGTTTCTGATGCTTTCTTTGTTTTCGTGTTGAAATGTCTCGCTGTTATTGCTATTCCATCTGATGACCATGGTCACAACTCTGCTCTGTTGATTTAACAGATTCTAACAGTAATCTAACAGCTGGACAGTAAACTGATTGAATCCCTTGATTCTGGTGATGTTTTTAAGATGGAAGCAGCTTCATTTGGTATTTGCGTCAAAAGTACTCATAGTATAGGCTTCTTATTATTTATAGCTATGTTGTCTGATCTAATTAGAATGTGTTTAGGATCCACACTGGAAAAACACCCTAGAAATAAGTAAAAATTTCTTAAATCAAGTATATACCCCCTTAATTTTAGTAGGTAAGATAAGATATTTAGATAATATGCACTTGTAATAAGACAATGGAGTTGTCTTGGCAAAGTATCTCACTTACCTCCTCCATTCAAGACAAAATACACTTATTTTAAGAAAAAATGACTTATTTAGATTTCATTTTTTTGCAGTGCAAAGGGTGAAAATTCCTGCATGAATCTGTTATGAGACCTTAGTAAACCATCAGTTGGTCCTCAAGAATAACATAAAGGAAAAGGCTCTAAGATGAAACCTTGAGAGATGCAGTTTTCTAAAGATAAATGTTTGTTGTCAAATAAATTTATTGATTATTGATTTTTCAACACCAAAACCCAAAGTGTGACAGCGCTAAAAAGGGGAAGTAGTATTTCTTATTTCATGGGATTCTGTATCCTCAAAAAATTGTGACGAAGATTGATTGTAATGTGAACCCAAGCGTTTAAGGAGAAATTTGTAAAATAGAGTAGGAGCCTAACAGCTGGCTGGGCTTCTGGCGACGTCTTTGAAACACCTGATCAGTTTCATGACTGGAAACAGAAGCATCTTACTGCTGCTTCTACAAGTCAATGTTGTGCAGTTCTGGTCCAGCTTTTATAAAGTGATTCTGACCTCATGGTTCTGTAGAACAGGTTTCATTGAATGGAGCATGTTCAGTGTGGACAGTCTATGCTCTTTAATGGCTCCATGTTTAGACCATCAGCTGGAGAACCTGTTTGCTCTGCTCCATAAAGCCACTGCTGTCACCTCCGTTATATTATGGGGCTGTTTTGATGCAATGCAGTCAGAGTGACTTTTTAAATAATGGATAAAGTGAAATTATGTCCAGAAGTTCATGAACTATAGGCTCTGTTTTATCTCTCACTACTGGTGAATCAGTGGCCAATATTAGATGGTTTAAGGTGAAATCCCCTCCTTCACATTTAGCCAATGGAGCCACGGCTGGCTGTTAGAAATGGGCCCGGTTTCATTGTCTTACGCTCCTCCGTGTTCTTTCCTTCTCTTCATTCTTGTTCTCATTTTCAGACTGTCATTTTTTCTAGTTGTCCCTGTTTTG